AGTTGCATATATTTCTCAATTATATAATACTTTGGTGCTTTTGTCTCCGAGATTTACTGTACTTTAACATTTGTATGCATTTTACAGTAAAATTTTGAAAACTTTATAAGCATCCTGCTTTCTAATTAACAGTGAGGATAAAATGTTAGTGTGATAAATATTAAACATGCATAATTAAGGAATATTAAAAATCAGTCTAGTTTTTTTTTCTTTTTTTCTTTCTCTCCCTTGAAGGTAAGATTTATCCAATACAAGGTTTGGAAGAATGAATGTATAATTTAGAGAAACACTTCCCCGAATACCAATATTACTTTATATAGTAATTATGGGATTTTAAATGCCAATGAGTTCTTTTTCTTTTGTATGAACTTATGAATGTATTATAATAAAGCACTTTTGACAAGCTAATCAAATAAAACAATGTAAGATTTAATTATCAGCTTTCTAAAGGTTTTATGAACCAGATTGTTTCTATTGCCAGAATCATTTAGTAATTTAGGAATCTCAGAATCCTCTTAAATCTTTTATTTTGTTCTTAAAGTAGTAGGGTTTTTTTACGTGCTCACTACAAAAATATCAAGCATAGAAAAATATAAAGAAAATTTAAAATCATTAAAATTTCTACATCTCAGGTAGAACTACTATTGATATTTTAGTTAATATTCTTGTAGACATCTGTGCATACACAGACGTGCTCACACAGGCATACACCCAGTTTTATGTAGAAAGGTTAATAAAATATGTTATACGATATTCTATTATCAATGCATTTTTAATGCACTCTTCTGTTGTTTCTGTGTTAGTAAATACAGATGTACATTATCATTTTAATGGTTGCATTATAGATATTATATACAGTATATATATGTATACCATATCTAATCTCCTATTGATAATACTTAGATTGCATCCTTTTTCCTCTATTATGTGTTTAGCAACATCTCTGCACATTAGTCATTTTGCATCTGTACAATTATCTTCTTAAGACAAAATCCTAGATATCTGATTAATTACCAAACTGTCTACCAGAATTATTTCAGTTGACACTTCCAGTAGCAACGTAATAGAACGATTGCTTTTTCACAGTTTTCTAATATTGGATTTTGTCTTTCTTAAATATTGGCAAATGATAAAAATGTGTCGTTTTAAAATTTGCATCTCTTTGATTATTAATGAAGTTCTACATATTTTTAAGTGCTTATTGGTCATAGTTTCTCTCTCTCTGCCTTTAAAGTAGAGATAGCGTCTTGCTATGTTGCTCAGGCTGGTCCCAAACTCCTGGCCTCAAGTGATGCTTCCACCTTGGCCTCCCAAAGTGCTGGGATTATAGGCATGAGCCACGGCACCCGGCTTTGGCCATTAGTTTTTCTTCTTTGATCAGTTGCTTAAATATTTTTTGGGAGATGATTGGCTTTTTCCTTTTTCTTTTACAAACTATGAAGTTCTTACTATGGGATGGTTGTGTTTTGTACTGACCTGTAGGAAATCTGTGAATATTGTGATATTGCCATTTAGATTTCTAGTTTATGATTTGACTTTTAACTCTTCACAGAATGATTTTTGAATTAAACTAAATGTTGCTTATAAATGTCACTCATTTATTTTGTTTGTTACAAACATTTATTGATGTTTCATTTTATACTTTCAAGCTTTTGTATTATAGTTAAGAATGGCCTTTGTCATCTCAGGATTGTGAAATACTTGCCAATATTTTTCATAGTCTTAGGGTTTAATTTTTTTTACATGATAATCTTTGATCCATCTGGGATTTATATTTAATCAAAAGAAAGGTAAGAAGCCAGTAATACTTTTACCTCAATCGCTGAACAGTTGTGAGACTTTATGAATATCCAATTTTTTACTAGTGATTTAAAGTGACTCCTTTTATATTGAATTCCCTTATATATTTGAATCAATTTGAAACTATCCTGTTTTATTGACATCTTTTTGAATAATTTTGGGGGGGCTTTTATTTCTGTGGCTTTTTTTTAATAGGAAAAGTATCCCTTCATTATTCTTTTTCAGATTATCTGTACATTTTTGCATGTTGACTTGGTGAGATTTAAAATCATTAACAAAAGCCATGCCAGTTTATTCATTTGGGGTTATACAGTATTTACAGATTAAGGGGAAATAGGTACTTTTATAATACTAGATTTTCTTATTGAAAAAACAAGTTTTTCCCCCATGGATTTAAGTATTTTTAAAAATGTACCTCAGTAGCATTTTGTATTTTCTCCATATAGGCCCTAGGTATTATTTTAAAAAAGCTTTTTCCTAGATGTTTTTAATTGTTGTTAATTGCATCATCTCCACACTATTTTCTGATTGTTAATGGTTAAAACATAAACTATTAACTTTTGTTTATTTATTTTATATCCAGACACTTCAGTGAGCACTCATTTTTTTTTTCTAGTAATATTTCAGTTGATTTTAGCCTTATAATGTCTCACCAGGTGGAAGTGAGGGGCCTAAGAAGTAAATATAACTATCTTATTGTAGGATGTCCTGAAATAATTAGAGAATGGTGCCTAAAGTAGAACAGAGTTTATGAAATATAATTTGTACATCCAGGGCAGGCTGAATGTAGACTAATCACCATGATTGAAATATAATGTGTCAGCCTAAGTGTACTAGAATGAATAAACATACCATTTAAATGAGATTAATATTCTGAAATGTTCTTTGTACTTTATTAATCTCTCAGGATTAATCTTTGTGAATTCTATATTATTTACTTAACCAGGAAAAAGATGGAATTGTTACTTAAGTGGGAAGGCATAATTCTAGTAAGGAAAGTATGAAGAAATGGGAGAGAAAAAGGATTTCCTCAAAATAGAAGTTTACTAGGTTGTGAATTCCAGGCTTGCTAATTTTTTTAATTCTCCACAAATAAAATATAACTTCTTTTTTTGTCTTAATTTTTCCAACATAACACCTGTTACATCAACCATCTACCCTATCGACACACCCCCAATCCCAGTAAGTAGGTGTAAAATTGTCTGACAATGCCATCTGGTGGCCTCCTGGGGAATTGTGTACAGTAACCTCTACCTGCTGGACTTCACTCCTTGGTGAACCTGAGGTACCGACCTGGGCTCATGTCTTGGATGCCACATTCAGGCTTGAGAGCAGGCAATTTGCAATGGGGCTGTAGAAAAAGAGAGACAAGAAATCAAAGTGCAGGTCTGGGGAAAGGCTGCTGGGGGAATAAGGAAGGTGCCCAAAAGGCCACATTCACAGGAGCTGGTTGAGAACAAGGACTAGATTTTCCTTTTCCCTCCCTCCTCCCTTTTCCGTCTTCCTTCCTCCTTCCCTCCCTCTCTTCTTCTGAGTTACTTTCCCCCACACTGCCTGCCTTTTTCTTAACTCTTGTTCTTGCATTCTAAGGAAAGCCTCCCTCTCTCTCTTCCCTCATTCTGTTTGGGAGCAGCATCATAATCCTAACTACAGCTGATAAGTCTAAGGGTAGTGATTGTAGGTCAACTTTATTAAGGAAAAGGGAAGGCAGAAGTTGGCAAATGAAGAATCCAGCATTGTGAACGCATGAGTCCTTGGAAGGGATCAGAAGTCCCCTTCAACATTACCATGGTGTCGGATTTTCCCCTTCATCCGACATGATTTCTCCATTTGCCTGCACGCAGGATTTTCATCTCTTCTACCCACTGCCATATCTCCAGCACCTGGAACAGTACCTGTCCAGTAAAACGAGCTCCACTAATACTTGTTGAAGGAAGGAATTCTAGAGGAGTAAGAACATCTGGCTCATCATTTTTTACTGTATTTCGATGTTGTCTTCTTGTAAGTGTTATAGTGATGCTAATTTTCATTGTGAAAGTATGATTTTGGACTTTTGTGGGATAATTTAAGTATTAAATGATATTTCTAGCAGAAATTGTTTTTTAAGTTCTAACCTACTAACTGGCCAAATTTCAGAAAATAACCTGTTGGTAAGTTAGGGACTCTCTGTATCTTTCCTTTTTATATTTCAATAATGTATCTTTTATATACATAAAGGAAGTAAAAACAACAACAAAATGACCATCTTTTTTTCTGTCTTTGCTTCTCAAGTGCTCCTAGCTTCCCAAAACAGAATCTAAGGCTATTAAATATGAGGAAAACACAGGTTTGAAAAGCTGAAAAATATTAAGCATTTGGCAGAATATCTCTTCTGTATATGTTTTCTCTGTGTGCACAGATTTGTTTGCATTACAAATCCTTGATCACAGACTTGGAGTCATATTTATTCCCTGTATAGAACTAAGCACAGAGCAAATGCTGGATTTCCCTGATATTTTGCAGAACTGTACCCTTGTTTTGTGATTCTCCTAAGAACTGGAGAGAGAAGGCAGGCTGTTTTTATTTCTTAGATTGTTCCTCTGACATTGCTGTTGTGTGAGACTTTTCTGTGGGTAAATAATAATAATAATATCATTTTCTGCTAACCATTTCAACACTCTAGGATTCCCAGACTATCTCACGAATCTGTGTGATCTTAAAGAAATGCTTCTGCTGTAATGCAAAGGGAAAGCTAAAATGAATTAAAAGCTGGCCTAAATTAAGACAGCTGGGGTGATCACTGGGTGTATAAGACCAGAGTGTGGTAGACCTTGGTTGTTTTGAGAATGTGTCACAGCATCCTACATCAGAGTTGATATGTTGTCCTGGCTGATTTTGGTGGCTGTGGTCATGGGGAGGGGGAGCTCTTTAAACTTTGTTGACTACATGGATTGTGAAAAACTGTAAGGCATGCAAAAAGCATGGACTGACTTTAGAGCCAGAGGGCTCTCAGGCTACAATCTGGCAATGCCTCTTTGTGACCTGGAATAAAATAGGTAACATCTCAGAGCCTTAGTTTACCTTTCTGCAAAATGGGAGTAATGATGCCTACCTAGAAGGGCTGTTGTGAGGACTGGTGCTGGTACCTGGCTGGCAGGACTTGCTCAGTTGACCAGCTATGATCACAGTGTTCACCTGTTATCTTTCCATCTCTCCACTAGGTACCTTGGAATCACAAGGCCCCTCACCTACCCTGTGAGGCAAAATGGGAAATGCATGGCGAAGATGATTCTCTCCGTCTGGCTTCTCTCTGCCTCCATCACTTTACCTCCGCTCTTTGGATGGGCTCAGAATGTAAATGACGATAAGGTGTGCTTGATCAGCCAGGACTTTGGCTACACGATTTACTCGACCGCCGTGGCGTTTTATATCCCCATGTCCGTCATGCTTTTCATGTACTACCAGATTTACAAGGCTGCCAGGAAGAGTGCTGCCAAACACAAATTCCCTGGCTTCCCTCGAGTGGAGCCAGACAGCGTCATCGCCCTGAATGGCATAGTGAAGCTCCAGAAGGAGGTGGAAGAGTGTGCAAACCTTTCGAGACTCCTCAAGCATGAAAGGAAAAACATCTCCATCTTTAAGCGGGAACAGAAAGCAGCCACCACCCTGGGGATCATCGTCGGGGCCTTTACCGTGTGCTGGCTGCCATTTTTCCTCCTCTCGACAGCCAGACCCTTCATCTGTGGCACTTCCTGCAGCTGCATCCCACTGTGGGTAGAGAGGACATTTCTGTGGCTAGGCTATGCAAACTCTCTCATTAACCCTTTTATATATGCCTTCTTCAACCGGGACCTGAGGACCACCTATCGCAGCCTGCTTCAGTGCCAGTACCGGAATATCAACCGGAAGCTCTCAGCTGCAGGCATGCATGAAGCCCTGAAGCTTGCTGAGAGGCCAGAGAGAGCTGAGTTTGTGCTGTAAGGTCATTTATCATTATTTTCCTTTTATCCCCCAAACCCTTTCATGCAGCTTTTTGAAACACATCACAGAAAGTTTCCTGAACGAGTAGCTAGCTTATTTTTTACTAAACATACCAGATTTGAATTGACAACAGTATAGATTCCAATCTTCCACCCAGTAAAATTCCAAAAGCCAAAAATAAGTACTTAGTTGGATTGGTAGATGAGACTAATTTGCTGAAGAATTGCAATTGATGTGATTGACAACAAAGAGGTGATATTTTCCATTCTTTCTCCATAAATGACATCCAAATTATGTCCTTACATCTGAATTTGTGTAACATTATTATTTTAGTTGTTATTATTCTTCTGCCTAGTAAAACTTTTTTGATGACCTCAACCTTCACTGATAAATTCTTTTGAGGTAGGAGGCACAATGATCTCTCTAGTATGCAGTTACATTCACCTGGGCTGAAAGGCAGCCCAGGAAAAAGAAGAGTGGTTAGTGTGGGTCTCAAGAACCGGACGTGGTAGAGCGCCTCTGTAATTCTAGCCTCTTGGGAGGCCGAGGCGGGAGGATAGCTTGAGCCCAGGGGTTGGATTATGCAGTGAGCTATGATCATGCCATTGCACTCCAACCTGGTTGACAGAGCAAGACCTGCCTCTAAAAAAGAAAAAGAAAAGAGCCACAGGACCATTTAGGAAATGTTCTTGGCCATCTTGGCAGGAGAGAACCAAGAATTGGTCTAAGAAGTCTTAATGACTTTCAAGGAAGCAATTACCATAGGGTCTTGGGATCTGAAAAAGATCTGATGGTGATAGAGAAATGGAAATTTCAGAAGTGACCCACGTGTTAAAAAATTGACATTGTAAAGAAGGAAAGAGATAGTATATTAGTTAGAGGTGTCAACATGTCAGATGAAGACTCTGTTTTAAATGTGAGGTAGAGGAGATTTCTTCACATTTGAAAGTCAGGGGAAAAATAAACTTGGAATGAAAAATTGGAAGGTTCTGGTGGGACAGTGAGCAGATTAATGTTGGAGGCATCCGTCTTCACAGCCTGGCGGGAAGGAGCAGACTAGAGAACCAGGGACCACTCTAGCAGAGAGGGACCTTCCCAGTCATCTTGTCCACCCCTGTCATTCAACAGAAGAGCTAACTGGGAGTTGAAAAGTGAGATGTCTCACACTTAGCTAGTGTCACAACTAAGTCTAGATCCCACATCATCTGAATCTCAGTGCTACTCATTTTTCTTATACTGGACTGCCTTTATCTTACAACTGAAAGTTGGAAGACTACAGTTATGCTAATTCTTAAGCTGAGTATAGCTTCACAGGCATTCATATTTACTTCTGTATACTCTTTTGTACACATGAGATTGTTCACAATATAAAAAGTAGCATTAAAAAATAATGTAATTTTAAGTTCTAGAACATGTACTATGAGCAAACCCAGAGATCTTACTATGCCTGTAAGAGTTCATTGAATTTACCATTAGGATTTTCCCACCAGATTCTGAATTCCTTCAGAGAAGGAACTATGTCTTAATCAGATTTCTTTCTGCAGAATCTAGTACAGTGCTTGACACATAATAGATGATAAATAAAAGTAATAACTGCTAACCATTATTGAACACCTGCTACATGCTATGCAGCATGCTACCTGCAAAATAGGTGCTTCTGGCATCCCCACTTTTCAGAAGAACAACTTAAGGCTCAGGAGCATAAAGTAACTGACCTATGTTCACACAGTCCCTAAGTGGTAGCTGTGATATGAATCACTCCGATGCTTCTATGGAATGTTGTGCAATAATACTTGTCAAGTGACTTCAGTATATAGGCAGTGAAGAGTCTCAGAATATTTTTGAGCTGGAGACTAGCCGTAAGCTCTCTAAGAAGACAATGAGAATGACTTGTTACACTTAGTAAGTAAAGTTTATTAGACTTATTGCACTATGAGTGGTATCCACTCCTAGACAGTCTTAGTAGTTTCTCAGATGAAGGAAATAAGGCAAGGATATTGATAGAGTTTTGGGGCTTGGGCTGGGTGATTTGAAGGTGGGGAACTGGTGAAGATTAGGCAGAGTTTATGACATAATAGCTTTAGACTGGTAAGTACAACTAGATGAGGGCTGTGAAGTAAGTGCTAATGAGCAAACTATTAGTTTTGATAAGTAGGCTATTTTTGTTGGCATACAGTCTTATCTTCTGAAAGTGACTATTTCCTAGAACAAATAGCTAGGCTATTTTGCCTGGCTCCAGCATTGTTTAGCACAGGAAAAGGAAAGCATGTTGGTTCTAGTTCTCAGGAGTAACATGGGAAGGTCTCCCTGGCAATAGTGAGGAGGGCAGACAAGGGAAAGATGGGTGGCAGGGGATCCAGTTAAGCAGCCAGTGTATAAACTAGGAAAGAACAGATCATGTCATGAGCAAGGAAACACTGCTATATTTGCATGCATCCTATAGGGTCAAAGAACTTGAGAATAATTTTATTGATTATTTTAGTTAACAATTCATAGATAATTCAGATAGATCATAAAATGGTAATCTTTAAAATGTAACACAAAAAGGTTTTCCAATTTAAAACAATAGCTTGTGTTTGCTGAGGATCACTTCATGTGAATTTGATCAATTAATCCTCAAAAGTTTATGATAGGTTAGTTTTCTTCATTTCCATTCTGCAAATAACAAAACAAGGCCTTGGAGAAGTAAAATAATTTCCCCCACAGTCATACAGAGAGTGATAGAGCTGGATTTGAGCCCAGGACATCTGTGTTCAAAAGTGCTTTTAACTTCTATGCTACTGTGCCTTTTATAAAAATAAATCAGCTAATGTAAAGTCTAAAGATACTTGCCTTTGTATCTTTAGCTAGTCTGGAGGCTTGGGTGTTGTTTTCCTGTTAGCTTAACACAGAGGTCAGCAAACTTTAACTGTGAAGGGCCAAGTGGTAAATATTTTAAACTTTGCTAGCCATATGGTCCCTATTGAAACTACTCTTCTCACTGATGAGTAATTTGTCACTGACATAAGTAAACGGATAGGCCTGTGTACCAATAAAACTTTATTTACAAAAAGAGGCTGCCAGTTGTATTTGGCCCACAGGCCATAGTCTGCTGTATCCTCTTTACATTTCTCTCAGTTTGAATTTATAATTACAGAATATCCACTTCATTAAGGATGATTAGCCTAAAAACATCCATCAGCTTTAGGAAATTTCTAATGTGGCTGCCATGCATTGAGGAAAATACAGAAAACAGATGATATCTTTCATGTCCTTGTGCATATATTTTTGTTGGATATACCTTACACAAACAGACATATGTTGCTATGGCCTGAATATTTGTGTCTCCTGCAAAATTCGTATTTTGAAACCAAATTCCCAATGCAATAGTATGAAAATGTGGATTCTTTAGGAGGTAATTAGGTCATGAGGGCAGGGCCCTCATAAATGGGATTATTGCCTTTATAAAAGAGGCCTGAGGGAGCTTGTTCACATCTTCTACCATGTGAGGACGCAGTTAGAAGGTACCTTCTATGAAGCAGACAGCGAGCCCTCACCAGACATGGGATCTGCTGGTGGCTTAATCTTGGATTTCTCAGCCTCTTGAACTCTAAGAAATAAATCTCTGTTGTTTATAAGCTATCAGCTTATGGTATTTTGTTATAGCAGCCTGGCTAGGCTAAGACATACGCACATGCAACCTTTCTGTAATAAGGAAAGGTGGAGACAGGAAAAGCTATAGGATTCAAAGGAAAGGAAAATAACCCAGAGCTTATACTAACCCTGATCAGAGAAGACTTCCTGAAGGATATGAACTCAAGAATGTCTATTAGGTTGGTCAAAGCATTTATAGTGAAAGGAGAGCAGAAATGTTATTCTAGGTGAAGATGACTTTTTTTTTTGTAAAGGCACCAATGTGGGAGCTTATGCAAAGGACCACCTGGTTGAAACTAAGCATTTGGGTATAGGAACTGTTGGAGATCAAAGCAGAAAAGTAGATTGAGATGAAATTGTAAAGGATCTTCTATGCCAGCTCCAATAATTTGGACTTTTAGTATTGACAAATGGTTCTTAATCAGGGGTAATTTTGCCTCCCATCCCAACTCTTTGGAAACATTTGGCATTTTCTGGAGGCATTTTTGGTTGTCACAAGTGGGGGTGGGACGCTTCTGGCATCTACTGGGTAGAGGCCAGGGCTGCTGTTAAGGATTTTACAGTATACAGGCCAGCACCCCTGCCCCCCTCCCTGCCCCAACAAAGAAGTACCCAGTCCTTATTGCTAAAGTTGTGACACTCTGGTGTAAATATAGTAAGCCGTCAGTGAATCTGCAGGTAGGGGAATGGAGTCATCACAATGGTCAAGACTGATGCAGTAGCACTGTGTGGGTAACTCAGAAGGTAAAAAATGGATGTTGTTTTTCCCAGAAAATTGGCTTGTTTTTCCCAGAAACATTTGAGGGTCTGCTGTGTACAAGATATGGAACCAGGCATGGGTAGGGTAGAAAGGTGAGTAAATGACAGTTGTAGTCTCTGGAAGCTTTTAACCTAGTATGCTGGGGTGGCTGTAGAGGTGGTGGTGGCTAGTAGGAGACTTGTAATCAGAACCCTTTGCTCCCCCTGCCTCTCTCTAGCTCTCACTCATCTTGTGGTCACCCTACAGACTCTGGGCTCCTCCAGACTCTGAGCTTTCTCCAGCTCTTTTCCTCCCATTAGCTTCTGGGCTTCTAGTCTCTCTTACCTTCTCGCCCTGTTCTGCCTTCTTGGCTCTACGTATTCTCCTTCATAATAGTTTCTTTCTTTCCTGTGTAAACCTGTGAGACTGTGTTCCTACTCCCAAATATTTACCTATTTTTCCCCATTTTCTTGATCAGCATAACCAGAACCTCAGGAGTTCAGCAGGCACTTGAAAATTTTCCCTGGGGTAATGAAGTGAATAGATGGGGGAAAAGTTGTGAATACTTTTGCACTGGTAATTTTAATTTACTGCTATCAATTTTAATCCTTTTCACAAGTATTCACAGATTGGTAATATAAAACCAAATATGATAATAAAATATAATCAAGGATTCTTTTTTCTTTTTAAATTTGATTACTTATGGATTTGCTTTGAATTGCCATCAATTGCTTTTAAGTATCCTGTTTTCATGAATTTTGTTGATGTCATTTATGAATAACATTGAACAGCACTTTCTAAATACTTCCATATAAAAGAATGTCATGAAATTATTTTAAAGTAGCTCTTCTTTTCCTCCTCCCTTTTTTCCTGGTGATTGTATTGTCATTGTCTTCAAAGGGCCTCTTATAATTCCTGTGGATTGCAGGGGTCCTAGTGGTGACTTGTAGTAGAGTAACCTTGAGTTTCTGCCATGAATTCTGCCAATACAGTGCTCCAGGGTTTGTCGTGAAGCATCCTGAAAGGTGCTTTCTTTCTTTTTGGAAACCAGTAATAAAAATAAAATAAAATAAAATAAAATAAAATAGATCCCAGAGAAAATTGGGAAGAAGCATCAAAGCCTCTGAAACCCTGGGTATCTGTGATCAGATGCTGCCTTAAAGGCAGAAACAAACAAAAAGTTTGCTATTTCATGGACTTTTCTTCTCCATAGATGATTTATTTTCATTAAATCATCATTTTATTTTTACTAAATCATCAATTAGTAATAATAGCTTATTTGCTTCATGCTTCGCAATTGCCTACATTTTAACTTTGCAATGTTTCTTTAAGGAAGGCAGGTGATTTCCCTCCCTTGCTTTGTCTAATATTTATATATTTTTGTTCTATTAGTAGATAATAAATTCATATAGCACAATATAAAATCAAGCAGTACAGAGGAGTACAGAAGAAAAATAAGTCTTGAGGGGCATTCTTAGAAAGAAAATATCCATGGTAGATATCAAGAACAGGGGGATATTTGAGGTGGGTCTTGAAGAAAGAGTAGGATTTTAACAAGAAGACATAGTAGGGGTGGAGGTGGAGTGGTGGCTGCTCAAGGCAGAGGGGACAGCATGGACCGAGGGGCCCAGATGTTGATAGAGGTGGACAAGAAGTTTGGGGCATGTCTTCAGCAGTACTGGGAAGCTGGGTAGTCTATGGTCAGCATGGAGGGCTAAGTGGGCAGGGGTGAGGGAGGGAGATGAAGGCTTTTGAGCAGGAGTGAGACTAGGGATGCAGTATAAATGATGTATGGAAGGCTTCACAATAGGAGAAGGGATATGGGTTAGAAGACTGATGCAAGAGTGGGGTCTCATGTCAAGAGGGCCTGCACAAGGAGGGTGCTGTTGAGACTAGCAAAGAGGCCACAGGTGTCTGTGTGGATGCTACAATCTCCAGACCATCACAATTGGTTAGCAGGTGGGTAGCAAGGAAAGGGAGACTTTGGAGATAGTGCTGTGGCCTAGAGGAATTCAGAACATGAACTATGTGAGCAGAGCAGTGCTGAGCTGGAGAAAGTGTGGTCTCTCCTGTGCTGGGAAGAGACAGAGGCCCTAGGCTAGGAACGTGTCTGTGGAGCACAGATGGTTGCCAGTCCCCTCTTCAGATACCTAGGAGCCTATAGTGCTGGGTCTGGGCTGAAGTGCAGCACTTGTCCTCAAGTGTTATTGTGTGAGGCTGAGGGGAAAAGCCAGAAACCATGTCTCCAGCAAAATCCATCTATTGATCACCCATCTGAAGGGCTGGGCTGAGAGGGGGACCTCAAAGAAGGAACAGCAGGACTGCAGGCAAAATAGCCAAATGGCAGGGTAGGGAGTGCTTTAGATGGGGTGGGTAGGCTGAGATTGGTTGCACAGTCCCAGTCTCTGGGTCCTCATAGACCTAGCTCTTAAGCACATGATGTAGTGTGATAAGTCGAGGCCGGTGGAGGTGCAGAGTTAGGGGAGTGGCTTTACACCAGGAGAAAGGGACTTTTCTCAGCCACTGGCTGACACTTCTCTATCACTAATACCACTTCTGTGCATCTAGGAACGAGGGAGAGAAGTGAAGTTTCTTGGTCCCTGCACACTTACCTTACAATAACACACCTTCCTAGGTTTGAGGGAGAGAACACTTCTCGTTGGTAATCATTATTTAGTCATTATTCTTTTCAAGTAGGGCAAGTGCAATAGTATTTTGCAAGGATTTTTGAGAGCAAAGTCATTTTTGTCTATAGCTGTATTAAAAAGGTGAATTTCTAAATGGGTTATTTGGGGCTGATTTGCAAATATATTAAAGCCTTGGCAACTTGTGGGTGTTATGAAACTTACCCAAAGAGTCACAGCACTTTTTCTTTCCCTTTAATGATACTCATAATCCATTAGAAGCCACAAATGATTCAAATTACTGACTGCTGTAAAAATTAAGTCCACCCACCACAAAATGAAAACTCACATTTACGGTTCTGCTAAATCATTTTCTTATTTCTCTCTCTTTTTTTTTTTTTTTAGACAAAACGCTGACTACTGTAGAAAAAAAGGTCATGATTCATGATCGAAAGCAGAACAATGGAGATGAAATAAACAAGGCAAATTAGAGGTGGAAACAGAAGGAAGTCATTTGCTGAGACTGCAGAATGGAATGCGACTTCTCTCCTTTCTTGGGATGTCTAAAACGTGACAAACAGGGTGATCTGTTGTACACATTACCTTACAAGGGAGATGGTGACTTCTCCTTTTTTCTGTGGATCAGTGCTATTGTGTGTTCTCAGTTTAAGATAGCAGATCATCTCAGCAGTAAGCACACCGACAGAACTGAGTTCCACAAAGGAAGCAGTTTCTGGTGCTTTGCATATGTCCAAATCCATGCAAGTGGGAGAAAGTTCCAATGCACACTTCCCATGCTTCTGAGTCTAGGTGTTGTGGTGAATATGCAGGAATCATTCCTGAGACAGAATGTATTTTGTTGTATGACAGAAGGCTTTTCCAAGCAAACTGCAGTGAGTGTAGTGTTGAATATGTTGCATGTCTATGTTAGAAAACAGAATCCAGTCATCAGCTAATACAGATGATTTCCCAGAGCAGTGTTTGTTTCAAGCTTCTGTCAAATAGTTTGGCTTTTCTGCAGGGTCTCTGTGATTTCCCCACCAATGTACTTTCTTTGTTAACTCACTTATTATGGTATAACTCAGGAACAGGTCTCAGGATGGAGAGAAGCATATAACTTGAGCAAAGCTTTTTCTTGTGCTCTGAAGGGTCTTGAGAGGTGAGGGTGATGCCTTCTGTGAGGATTTTTATCGCAGTGAAGCTCAAGTGGTACCCAACTGCATTGTAATTAACATGATTATTGGCATGTTTTTGACTCTCATTTTCTACCAGGCTGCAGTGGGCCCACCCATGGGCTGGCTCATAACTGTATGTTATGTGGAAGAAGTGTGGGAATGATGGGTTTTCCATGAAATGTTGTGATGCTTCTGGAGATGGGGCATAAACATGTTCATTCTTGTAGAGCTGCACTGTATTAAACCAAATTGTGTGAAGCAAGGTCACCTGGACCACTCTTGGGAAATGCTTCAGAACCCCAGTCTGTTCCTTCTAGAGAATTTGTTTTTGTGTTCTCTGTATCTTAAATCAAATGTGTGCCTAAGCAATTCTGTCCTCTGATTCCCACCCCTACCCACCAAAAAATGGTAGACATGAAGGGCAGGTAAGGAAACAGAAAAGGTCTCTTTGCGGATATATATTTTTTAAATGGCACTATGTAGCAATTAAGAGCTAAGGAGACAGAAAGACAGCAGATGAGAATAGAAGAGTACCTGTACCTACAAGGGGAAAAATGAATGCAATTCTTTATTTGATAAGAGAGAACTGAAAGATATTATTATTTTCCTACAATAAAGCAAGCTGTCCTGTCACAGGATAAAGTGGAATTCCGACATGGATTATGGACTTCTTCTAACTCCCATTGACATTGCTTCTTACCAGACATGGGGAAGAGTTGCCTTTCCTGAAAGGGGAGGAGGGCACTGTCCTTTCAGACAAAGCTTGTATAAATTCCTGAACCGCAAATTTGCTAAAGTGACCGTATATATTATATTCATAATTTAAATGATTATTTATGGTCAGATACATATTGTTAAACTTGAAAATGTTTTATTACATTACATCAAATAAAGTTTATTTGTAGCTGAAATAAAGCAATGTAAGTAAAAATTTTTAATTAAAGGTCTTATGTCATACATGTTGCTGTCTGTAGAATGACTGAAGGGCAAACACTTTACATGTTTGCTAAAATCCTAACAGGTAGCTAAGACAGCTCTGGATTCAATTACATTTCACTGTGAGGATTCATTGCCTTAGTGACTTTATTTTTATAAAACAATGCCTGTTCATTACTTGATCTGATGAATGAGCATTGTTTGGGCTCCTGGCACACTTGGCATTGCTGGCATCGAGGGGACAAAGATGGGTATGACACAGTCCTTGCTTTTAAGAGTTTGCCATCAGGTAGATGGCAAACATGTCTCGGTTTGTCACAATGTAGTATAGTAAGTGCTATAGCAGGTTTTAGGGAGTGACTTTTTCTTTCCTGTAGTGTAAGACAGGGCACTATGGTTAGTTGGATTGATTCAAGTTTTCAGATGTGTTGTTTAATTTTTTATGAAGACTTTCGTGATTCAAATTGACTCTTTATCCTGCCTGACTTGAATGCCTGACTGTTGACCTCTCTGCTTCATTCTGGCTACAAAGGCTGAGCTTCATATGTATACTGTACTTTAAATATATGGCAGCAAATGAAAGGCAAAGGTAGAAATGGCAAAGGGATGAGAAAAATAAATCATTAATACAGTTTCACATATGACATAATTTGTGTCAAAGACACAGCTTTTGTTTTAACTAAGAACTGGAAAAATCATTGAAATGAACATTTTGTATATAATGACTGTTCAAGCAAGAAGGACTATTCCTCTTCTCACTCTAGGGTATCAGCTGTCATTTTCTGGCAAGGTTGAGTACTGGGAAACCATGCTTGAGAAGTAAATCACTTACTTGTAAGAGATAACTGAGTCACTGTTGCCTTAGCATTTAGTTTTATTCTGTAAATATGAAACAGGAGACACTCAGAGTTCCTAGGTTTTCTAGCAACTGTTTCATAACTGAAAGCATTGATTATATTGTCATGGGCTTGATATGCTTATGCATGTATTTGATGATCATATTTTCATGTAGTTTTATTAGGTTCATTGATTGCAGGCAGTGGGTCAAAATATGAATGGAAAATGCAGGCAATTTTTTCAAATAGTTTATGCTAATATAATAAGTGTCTGATTTACCATCTAGAGATAATGGGAATTTCCCTTTCAGCATTTTCATTGTCAATTGAGTTTTCAATTTAATGGCTATAAGTGTTTCTAAATATTGGAGTCTTGAAAAGTTGTTCATGCTCCTTTTGATATCACACATGTTTTCCCTCTTGGTTTGCGATATTCTTCCTGATCTCATTTATTTGATGTATGTCTCCATTATTGTCCAGTAAATCTTCAAGGGTAGGGACCACGTCTGTTTTTCTCAACAATATGCCCATTACCTAGCACCATGCTGGGAACAGATATATGGTAGGCCCATAATGGATATATCTTAATGAGAAGGATAGAGGGAAGGAGAGAAAGGCAAGAGTTCACTGGCACCTTTAAAAAAATGTTTATATGAGGAAACAGAGAAGACTTGCCATGATCCAGCAACATGCCCAGTGAATGGAAGAGAAGGAAATGGAATTAAGCTATTCTGTGTGCCCCTTAGGTCAGGCCCTCCACTACATGGTCCTGCTTCTCTTGCATGAGTTAGCTACTCATATCATGAGAGCATCCTTTTCTTAATTTTCTGCACTAGTGAAGCAGAGCCATGTATGTGCTATGGCCCATATGTTGAAACTTGTTTATCTACAGCTAGCCAGATGGTCTGTAACAGCGCACAAAGAAGCCATTTGGAAACTTTCAGAGGGTCAGCACGTTTTGAAAACAACTCAGAGTAATGCATATTGTGATGTCATTGCTTGCTTTAAGCTTACAGTGAGGAATATCTTGTTAGGTACTGAATATGAAACATGCAGACTTTGAGAACCAACTCAGAGGTTCTAGCCCCCAGAGATAGAAATTTATTTAATTGGATCACCCTTTAGACTTGTTTTGTCTGCATGTTCTCTGAAAAAGGAATATAATGTCTTAATTTAAAATACTTTGCTTTGTAAGTTGCTGCTGGGTTAAATACATTTTTTTAAAGAAAACCTGCTTATGCGGTACATGTTAACAGAGATATGATGTGGTCATCAGTACAAATGTAAAAGAAAATTTGCTATCGCTGATATGAAACAGAAAGTGAGAGACGTTGAGAAGTATCGGAAGTAGATTTGCAGCTAACGGTTCTGTTTAGTCTTTGGTACATTAAAAAAGCCAAGATGAAAGAATTATACCTGTACTAGTAGAGGGGGAAAATGGTAATCTAAAATAGCAGATGATAAGAAATATCTGGAATTTATCTTTGATGTGGTATTATGTAACATTTTTGGTGCCAAATTACCTTTTCCTAATTACCTTTTGATTGGGCTATTATTAAAATGCTCTTTATTCTTTAAACCCACACAGTCTCACAGTAGGAGAAGTGGTTCAAAGCTATGATGAGAGGCAGCAGAAAGTCAGCTGTACATATAAAAGTTTGTTATGGATAATTCACAAAGTGCATGATCCAGTTGTAGGAAAAATGAGCTATAACTATATCCACAATCACAGAGCTGGGGAATCTCATGGATAATCTAATACAACCCCTCTACTCTTCTGCAGGTGAGACAACACTAAAACACTAGAGCTGTGTTTCGTCTGAATTTGTTTGAAGGAGTATGGTATGGGGCAGTGCTTTTCTCTATATAATATTTGGTGAAGAAATAATTTTAAAAATCCGTCACATAAGTATTAATAAAAATGAATTATAAGAAAAATGCATTGAGGCAAAAAATCTTGTTGAAGTATGTTGAGGCAAAACAATGAAGTGCAAAAACATACAAAAGATTTAAGAGACATAAAACTACATTTCAATAAATATATTCAGAACAAATATAACATGAAGAAAAAACAACAACGAAAACTGACCATCGTTCACTGAAAGTGAGCAGTTACTCAAGTAGGGAAAACCTAGCAGTTACCCAGATGAGAAATTACTGTAGCGTGATCATTGCAAGTGCATGACACTAAGTTGCAAGGCTCACTGTGATGACTGCAATATAGGGAGAACATCCTGACAGGAAGGGTGAAGACCTACAAGGAACCCCTTGTCCCTGAGAAGTACACCTGGAGTACTGATACAGAGAAGCTGCCTGCTTCAGTATGTGCTCTGAAATAGTCAGGAAGCAGGGCCTATGAACAACTGAAACTTTTTTTCCTGCGTTTTTCCTCTTTTGTTATCTGCAATGAAATTGTATCCATAATGCTGATCTGAATGCTTTGAAAGGTATTTTATTTTTAGAATGATCATATTAATGAAATTTTTCTTAAAGACTACATTTTGACAAAGTGTCCCCAACAGTTTGAAGGCAAAGGGTTGTGATATTGAAAGGTTACTATCAAGTAATCACATCGTTTTATATCTTAAGCCCAGTTTTCAACCTTCACTCTGAGTAAGAATTATCCAGGGAGCTTGTTAAACATGAAGATCCCTTGGTCCCACTTCAAGAGACTCTTGTATGTTGTGTCTGGTACAGGGGTGGGGATAGGGAGATGCAGAGTGAAGAGGGCTTTTCACAGTCTAGCAGGTGATTCTGGTACAGCTGGTTCCACGTGTTAAAAATTGCTATTTCCAAATGTGCTGGCAAACTGAATTACCTAGCCAGTTCTGTGTGCTATTAGTGAGGAGAAGCATGCTCAGTGTGAAATAATATCCAAATCATTAGTATATGGTTATAGAATCTTGCCAAAGAAATGCACCATTTGTTCACAAGCTCTCTCTTACATATCCTTTAGTGCTCAGTACTTATTGTTGGTACCAAAAATCCAGGAAGCTTGCAGAGGAAAATAATCCACAGATCACCTTAGATAGTTTACAAATATGATATTTAAAGACACATAGATGTTTAAGTGACATCTATTGTTATGGTTTCTTTCTCATTTGGCCTTAAGGCCTCTCTCGAATGTGGCCATCAGCCAAGATAGCCCCTCTCTAGAGAAGACCTGACCAGGGGAAAGTTAGATTGGAGTGTGTTGGTCAAGTGAGGCACAATGAGGAGGTGAAACCAAAATTCGTGAAGCAAGAAATTATTACTCACAGGACCCTGAGAATTAGTGGTGCTGACAGGAGGTCCATGGTAAGTCTGGAGGTCACAGGGAGCTCAACCAGCAGTTGGGGAGCTAGACAGAGAGAGGACCTGTGGACTTTGTCCTTTTTAAGGTCCATGGTTATCCCTTAGGCTTTCCCGAAGGGATTGTGGGTCAGCTAGTTTCAATAAAACATCTGAAAAATTGGGGGGTGGGAACTTGCTTGTATGACCCTGGTGTTGACAATTAAGTTTTGTGTGGTCAACAGTTCCACAAAGGGAGGGGAAGTTTTCACTAGGCCAATGGTGACGGGTTATGACTAGGTTGCAGATAACTTATGTCAAAGTTAAAAATGGAGGCCAAGACAGCAACTATATTACACACATTTATGACAGGTGCTGAGCTGGCAAATTCCCACAAGATTGAGTGACTCCTGATGTTAATGAAGTTTATTTTATTTTCAATTGTTACGGGTACATACTAGTTGTACATATTTACAGAATACATGTGATATTTTGATAAAAGCACAAGGTGTGTAATGGTCAAATCAGGGTAGTTGGGATATCCATCACCTCAAACATTTATAATTTGTGTTGAGGACATTCCAGAAACACTCGTCTAGTTATTTTGAAATGTACAATTATTAACTGTAGTCACCCTATTGTGCTACCAAACACTAGATCTTATTTCTACTATATAACTGTATTTTTGTATTCATCAATCAACCCCTCTTATAATTAATTAATATTGGCACCAGCACAGGGTCAAATGAGAATCAATGCATCACATTCCTTATAGCCAAGAAGCTGATCAGATGTTTGTCAACAAAACAAAGATAAGATCTTTGTAAAACACATGTTGAATATTAGCCATTGAGTGAGAGCTATTGACATTGGCCAAGGTGTACACTTTCATCATTTTGTGTGTGTGTGTGTGTATATATATATATCATGGCAATGATTAACAACATCTCACATTTGATTGTTTATTACTCATCAGTCATTCTGATAGTCTTCACAACAATCCTAAAAATTGTTATCTCTATTTTATGGGTGAAGGAACTGAGGCTAAAGGAGTTAGCCTTGTAACTCCTTTAACTTGTTAAGTAGAAAAATTTTAACTTGTAAATAGAAAAATTGAGCTCAGCTGACTTGTACTTTTCATTGTTATGATTTTTTATTACTTAAAATATTTTTAAAATATTTTTGTAGAGATAGGGGGGTGGTCTCACCATGTTGCCTAGGTTGGTCTCAAACTCCTGGCCTCAAGCAATCCTTTCACCTCAGCCTCCCAGAGTACTGGGATTGCAGGTGTGAGCCCAGCCTGTACTTTTCATTATATTCTTCCTTCTGGCAAAATACATCTCAGTGGTTGCTGACTGGTTTTGTGGACCTGGAAATCTGCAACTGAACTCTGAGGAGACTCACTCTAGGGGGTTCAAATATCTTCTTTATTATACAAAGTACGACAGAGTCCCAAGTTCAAGGTCAAATCCTAGATCATTGTGAAGGGCACAAAGATTATGATTCTTGCCTCCTCATCCTATTCTTGGTTTTTTCCATTTCCTGGGTATCCTGATGGTTTTTCCTAGTTATGCATTTCTTTTGTAGCCTGCCTGTGATAGTTCATTTTATGTATCATCTTCATAGGATCATGGTGTACCCATATATTTGTCTAAACATTATTTCCAGATGTGTCTATGGGGGTGTGAATGGATAAGGTTAGCATTTCAATCAGTTCATTCATTAAAGCGGATTGCCCATTTCTGTATGGGTGAGCATCATCCAATCTGTTGAGGGCCTGAATAGAGCAAAAAGATGGAGGAAGGGAAAATTTGCTTTGTGTCTGACTGTTTCTCCTGCCCTGGGATGGGGACCGTCAGCACACCAGTTCTTAGGCCTTTGGCCTCCTACTGAACTACACCACTGGCTTTCCTGGCTCTCCTGCCTGCAAATTGCAGATCATGGGATTTCTTAGCTTTCTCAATCATGTGAGCCAGTGCCTCAAAATAAATCTCTCAATCTCTTCCCTTCTCATATATTGGTTCTGTTTCTCTGGAAAACCCTAATAACCTACCCTAACTTCTATTGCCCTATAATGTGTACCTTTCTATACTTTCCTCATTAAAACGTGTCTTCCCTGTATTCCATTCTATCTTGTGCTGTCTTTTAACTGCCAATTAATCAAATACACAAATCCATTCAGGTGCAAGATCCTCTTCTTACATGGCATATCATTACATTGAGCCTCGCAACTTCTTTGATCAGCGTCTGAACCTAAAAAGTATTGATAGAAGCGTCTCACTATGGGACAAGTTGGTCATGGAGAAAGCAGCTCAAAGTATGTGCCTCCTTGACTAGGATTCTGAAAATCCTAGAGTTATTTAATTACAGACCTCCCAGGGGCCCCAGAAGCTGAAAGCCTGCTGTTATCCAAACTTATCTACATGACTTGGGCCAGGTCTATTTTCTGCCAACATTAGAGCAGAGAACTGAGGGAATTCCCTAGATTTTTAAAGCAAAATGAATGAAGGTAATTAGGTAACAGCTGAGATTTGTCAGGAACTATTGGCCAGTTGCCTCCAGCTCCTGGTCTTTGTGGAGATCTGCTTCTGTGGGGCAGCTTTGGCTGCACTCCCAGCCCCAGAGAGCAATTCTAGTGACCATCAATTTCCTCATCAACAGCTTTGTATGAAATATTAGAATATATTTTGGGTGTGGAGATAAAATTAACACCTGAAATTTTTTTCTGGGCACATAAATCAGAGATTACTCTTCAAATTACTTATTCTCTTGGCTCTTAGAATTTTAACTGCAGCAAGCTTTTACACATTGGCATTTAATTTATCTGTAAAAACACTTTGCTTAATTCAATCAATAAGGGAAAATTTGGCCTACTTGCCATCCATCCATTTGGATCATGCAGAGTACAAATATTTTGGACAAAAACCACTTCTTAAATATTATAACACGAATTCTAGTGTGGGATGCAGTTTTATAGCAAAATTGGCTAATAAAGACAGATAAAATGTTTTTATTTCCA